CAAAGCTAATTGTTACCAGATATATCAGAAAGCAGAAACTCAGTGTCAACACATACTTTATTTAAACCAATGGGTTTGTGAGTGGCTCCTACGTGCAATGCTAAATATTGGCAGAGAATACTCCCTGACACCAGGTTCTCCAGCAGAACAGGGTTTCAGCATAAGCAAATAGTACCTTACAGTGAGCTCTGCACAAGGGACAATTTAACAGTTGCATTTCCTTCGTGCTCACAAACATGCCGGAGCTTAAAGCGTTGCTGTGCTTCTGCTACAGCAGCCCAGCTCCTGGCGCTTCCCGCACTGGAATGCACGCTCACACTGTCCCCACAGCTCCCACCGCCCGTGGGGAATCATAGAATCATAAAATGGCATAGGCTGGAAGGGACCTTAGAGATCATCTAATCCAACCTCTCTGACCTGCTCTTGCACTGGCCATCATCCAGTTTGCAACCAGTGCGCCCAGAAAAATCTTGCAGATGGCGCCCTCTTTGCACGGCCGGGAAAAACTGCATCAGAAAGCTTGAGCTTATAAACGTGGTGATAGAAGCAAATGAATTCTGGTAAATTAAAATCTGCTGGGTCTCAAAGGAACTGAGCGCAGTACAGGAAAATGGTCAAATAGCCTCAGCGTTTGATCAAGTTGTTCCCAGTCTCCACAGACATGCAGACCCAGTGAAGAGGGCAAGATTTATTAACCAGGAGAGAAGGGAGAGTTCATCTAAAACAGTCAGAAACTACCTGCGCTTGAAGATTCCTTGATTATTAAAAAAGAAGCAAGAAGAGGGTTCTAATATGCAAACCACTACCGTTTTATTACAGTGAATATCAGGTTAAAAATCAATCACACCTTTTCATTTCTGTTAATTTAGCAAATATTTTTTCCAGAAGTGATGAGGTAATCTTGACATGCAGGTTACCAGACCATTTTCTAACATTAAACTGTCAGGGTGAAAATGTGACCTTTTTAGATTTCAACTAAACATTTGTCTTTATCTTTGACAGCTATTCTTAAAGCATCTGCAAACTTGGAAGGTAGGATTTATTTTTCCTTCCCAATAATTTCAGAGAGATGTGAAAAGAAACATTTGGTATAAATGGGTTTGGAATGAACATATATTTATTATTTATTTGTATTTTATATATTAATTTATATAAGCTTAATTTACTTAGTTTCCATTGAATTAATTCCCAGTATAATTTAGTAGAATCACAGAATCATAGAATGGTTAGGGTTGGAAGGGACCTCAAAGATCATCTAGTTCCAAACCCCCTGCCATGGGCAGGGACACCCGCCAATACACCAGGTTGCCCAAAGCTTCATTCAACCTGGCCTTGAACACTTCCAGGAATGGGGCAGCCACAACTTCTCTGGGCAACCTGTTCCACTGCCTCACCACCCTCAGAGTGAAAAAATTTCTTCCTCATATCTAATCTAAATCTCCCATTTTGCAGTTTAAAGCCATTGCCCCTTGTCCTATCACTACACAACCTTGTAAAAAGTCCCTCTCCAGCTTTCCTGTAGGCCCCCTTTAGGTACTGGAAGGCTGCAATAAGCTCACCCCGGAGGCTTCTCTTCTCCAGGCTGAACAGCCCCAAGTCTCTCAGCCTGTCTTCATAGCAGAGGTGCTCCAGCTCTTGGATCATTTTCGTGGCCCTCCTCTGGACTCGCTACTACTCATAGTAGTACCTGTGAGACACTCAGGGCATCCCAAGACAACTAAATGCTTTGGTAAACTGATCATCTCCTCTTTGCTCCTTCTTTTGCATGTTAAGATCTATGAGGGAGTCTGACACAAAGGCATTATGATAGATTTTTAATACAACTCTTATTCTAAAAAACCCCATACAATAATATTTACACCTTAATTATCATAGCTTCTTTACCCAGCCTCCTATCCTTGCCTCAAGAGAACAGTGGAAGAAGGCCAGGAGATGTTGAGGTTATATTCCATTTCCTTCCTAAACATGGTTTGCTGATTAATAATATGGTATAAGGGTGAAATTAGACCAATAGTTTTCAGTATTCTTCATATTTATTTATGGCTACAGAATACTTCCTTCTATTTGCTTTGTATTTTTTTTACAGATGCCAGAAAGGACAAGGCACATGGTCACATGAATATGTGGGTACTACTTACGCTGGTCCTCATAATATTATTAGGGATGGGCTTCATCATTTATTTCTCATTCAAGATCAAAACTCAAAGAGAGACTGAAAGAGAGGCGAGGCAGCACAGCACACTGCTAGAATACAGCCATGTCCTAACTGGAACGGATGATGAAAATGATTCTACTAAAGACAAAGAAAAAAATGAACACAGTGTCGTCTAATGGGAATAACACAGCCAAACTATATGGTTATGCTTAAAAAAATATCTAACTAGAATAAAGGAAATCTTAGTAAAAGTTACATACACCTAATAGACACTATGAACTAAAATTAGCAATTACGCCTTTGGTAAGGATTAAGAGCTATTGCTCTATGCTCTTCAAGAAATACTCTCGGGACTAAGACTCAGTACTGTATAAAATGGCTAATTAAACAAGCATGAAAAATAACAGATTTAGTAGGAATTTAGATTTAAAAGTTTATGGATTAATACCCTAGTATTCTCTCTTTTTAGATATTTGTGGCAGCATCACATACAGTCAAGCACAGACATATAGAGAGAACTCTCTTTGCAGAACACTCAGCCCCAAAGTCTGCACTTTTAGAATATGTCTCACCATAGTGTCCTGAAGCGCGCATGATGTTACTCAGATGGTGTTTGAATTAAACAGAGATTTACATGAGTTGTTTTGCCCCATTATTGCCCCTGTCTTACACTCTTTACACAAGTATCTTCCTTGCCATAGTATTACAAGTGAAAAGCAAATACTCGTCCTTCTTTCATGGCTGGAACTCGAATTTTGCAAAAGAAGTAGATATATGCAAACAGTCATATTCTATGACTTTGAATGTTTTGTATCAGTTATGAATATTAGATCATATCAATAAAGAACCTTATATTACATAATAATACTCCAGTGTTGTTTAATTAGCATGCAGAGATGTTATAAGATTTGGTGATCTAATGAGTCATTTACCTTAAGAGAGAGGCTAACAGGAGGAAACACAGAAACATGAATAAGGCATATGACTAAAAAGAAACATAAATAAACTATAAAATAAAGTGGATGCCAAATAAGGCTGGAAGAATCCATCCTGTTTTTATTTCACTTCATTGCTCATTTTAGGATGTCTTTTGTTACTATATTCCAACTGGGAATATATCCAGTGCCCAACAACTGGACACTATATCCATGCTACAGGCCAGTAAGGCAGTGAGGCACACCACAGCATCTTGCTAATGAAACACTGTAGACGTTTACTGTGCTGTTTAAGTTTTCTATGAATTCTATATTGTTTATGACAGACTGAAGAAGAAAAAGAACGAGATCTCAAGGACTTCTGGGGAAAACAGACCCTTAGAAAGCGCATAGGAACTGTACTGGAGAGATTAGTGGAAAGGAGAGGTCCACATGACATCGGATTGCTGGTTTGTAGATACTGCAGTCAGACAAAACGTATTGCAGAGGATGAGGAATGAAAGGCATTTTGTGCTCAAGCTACTTTTACTGACAGACCACTTGATCTCACTTCGTTTTTTTTCCTTTCTTTCATGTAAGTTACAACACATACTCATATTTATCTTTTTTTTGTAAATACCAACACTGGACTGGATTCATTGCTCTTTGATGGCTAGCAATAAAGGCAAGGCAAACAAAAAAACAGATTAAAAAAAAAAAACAAAATAATATTACTTATAATTTTGATATTTTGATAGTTGATATTGGTAACAGAGCTCTGAAGACCCTATACTCTGTAAATGGGTTCTTCTCTCACATTAAGTGATGTTTTGCCTTTGTAGAACATATTGTGAGATTTGTCTTCATAATAAAGCCATGAAAAAAGAGAGAAAATTCTAAGAGCAAGTTCTGCTGAATACTTTTCCTCTTTTTCCTTCAAAACAAATCAGGGATTTTGCATCACAGATGAAGTTGATTTCCACTTTTTAAAGTGCTGCAGATCATTTGTAATGTTTGAGAATATTCCTTTTTGCTTTTTTCATTTATACTTCGTACAAAGAATGAATTATTAAGTATTAAAATTCATTTGTACTTTATGGATTAAATCATTTTGAGAGGCATTTTTGTTGTCAAAGTCATAGAATCATAGAATCATAGAATTGTTAGGGCTGGAAGGGACCTTCAAAGGTCATCTAGTTCAACCCCCCTGCAAGGAACAGGGATATCTCCAAGTCACTGGTTAACAGAAAGATTTGTAAAGATCTGGCTAATTTATATTTGTTCTCCTGAGATAAATTCACATGAAATAACAGCACAGTAGTTTTACTAGTTGATAAACAGGAGAAAAAAACAAAAAACGTGTATGCATAGTCTCCAGTTTGTCAAGTTATGAAGCAAAATCAAATTGTCCCAAGTGGGTTAACTTTTTGCACTGAAATAGTTAGCGTTGTTCAGTGCAAAAAAAATAAATGAATATATATTTTGCAGCAGTGAAGATCTATCTGGCCAAGAAATTTGTATGTTTTTTTTTTTTTCAGTTTCTCAGGTATGTATGTATGAGATTTAAAGTACATCCTTTTAAAGTGCACTCCCTGATCCTTTGTCTTTGAGGGTCAGAACTCTACAATCTCAGAGTAGAACCAAGATAGTTAAGAATAATTCAGCATAAAGATGTTGACCTGTTCAATCTTTGCCACTTGCATTTCAATGGAAGGAAACTTCACTTTCAGATGCAAAGTTTGAATTTTGCCATTATTTATAGATTTCAAAATACCACACGTGACAGGATATTTCCTTATTTAGAGCCCAGAGTTTTCTCTTTCAACTAAAACTCTCTAAAACTGAGAAGGAGTTGAGGCCAACTGATTCCTTAAAGATTTCGACAGCAGCAATTGATTTCAACTCATCTCTTTGTGAATAAGAAGAAAGAAATGAAACACTTCACTTATTCTACAGTCTTAGTTTTCCTCTCTTTCGTTCATACTGCTTTTCAGACACTCGGTGAGTCTTTGTTTTTTATCCCTTGCAAAAGTGGATGTGAAAGTGGGCATTTTTGTTATGTTGCTTGTTTCTCAGTCTCATTGAGGTTTTCATGCAGCTTGACTGCCCTGCATTTCATGTTCATCTTAACCAGAGTGGTCCACAGAAGTTTAAAAAAGATGCAGATATAGAGATGTTGGTTCACATTTAAAGAGAGGGGAAGAGTCAAGATGAGGTAAAGCTGGGAATCAGAAGTCAGGACAGAGTGATGTATGAGGATAAAGACTCCCTTTTGGATACAACTTAATTATTGGTTATGTCTGCTCTGTGAAGTAAATGGACTTCACAGTGTGCTCCACTGTAAGTTACAAGAAAAAGAGTAAGAAATTAAATAGGGTGCTGTATGTGCATCTCCTAGCCTTAGGATGAGGTTGTGTGGGATGAGATGGAGCTTGTGGATTGATGTGAGATGTAATATTGCCGCTGAGTAGATGTCAGTGAAAAAAAAAAAATTTAAAAGATTAGAATCAAGAAAAGCCCTGGAAGAAACACTGCAGCTTTCAGAGTAAGGGTGAACGGCAGTTAAGGCTCCAAATTTGACCAAAGATAGATCAGAGCTCCCTTTTGATGTAAGGATGGTGATAAGGTTCAAGGACATTTTTCCTTTATCCTTCAATTCATTAGATTTGTGGAGGAGAGGGGTACAAATCACAGCTTCTGAAAGCAGGCGATATGCCATCTGAGCTGCGCCAGCACTAGCCTGTGCAAAGAGGGAGTCCCTCCTCTGCTCTGAGAGCTGGGATCTTAACCCGTGTGATAGCTCAAGCACGAACCTCAGAGTTTCCAGCAAGAATTCCTATTATTAGACCCAAAAATACTAAGAAGGGCAACAGCTGAAACTTAGGACACTACATGAAGCACGCACTTAGTTAGCAGTGAAAAATTAAAGATTTAATAAGATTTAAAACTTTCTGTCTAAATGGACAAGGAAAGGAGAAGCTAGGTCTTAGCTCCAAATTTAGATTTGAAGAAACGAAACTTCCACAGATTACTAAGCTGGTCAAAGTAATACAAGGCCTTCTTGGGAGAGCTTAAACATTACATACAGCTAGCCTAACAAGAACTATTATTCCTGTCATAGCTTCCCAGAATTTCCCAGACACTTTCTGCTCTCTTCACTACTCAATATTGGCTGTGCCCTAACATACTACCTTTGTCCTACCAACTTACTTTAGTATTTGGAAGGGTATCTCACTGTCCCTTACATGGTTATTCTCTCATATGGATACAGGGGTGATGCTACATCTCTGTTTCCACATGGTGATTTGAGGCACAGAAAATTGAAGGGCAAAGCCTTGCTCTCCTGTCCCAGAGGTCACAGAATATTTCCTGTAGTCCAAATTTCAATCCTTCATGACCCAAAACCAGTGGGAGCTGTACGCTACTTGATGTTCTGAAAGGCAGGCAGCTGTGTTCACAGGCTGGTGCCCAGCACCGAGCGACCCACTTCACATGTAGACAGTACAACTGCAGTCCTGGGAAACCCTACCCACCAGGGCCTTGTCTTGATGGATAACTAAATTAGGCTGCCTATAATCCTTTGGGAGCATTAGCTAGCTTGTTCAGCATTCACATATTGTTTTTCCGTAACAATGTACAGGCACACACCTACAGCATCCTTACCTCTATATGCTGGTCAGTGTTGGCTCTTGTGAGAATGTTTGTGATTTGATTGTGTGAATTATGTTGATTTCTTATGATAGATGCACTAATGAGAGGTTACTGGAACAAGGCAAGATAACAAGTCGCTGTTCCACAGTTTTTCATCCTAAAAAAACCCCATATCATAACAGAACATGCCAATTACAGAAGGAGCAAGAGTCACAGAAGGCTCACTCACTAACTGTACTAAGAACAAATACAGCCCCATGGAGATGTATGTAAAATGATATCTAATCTATAATGCATAAAGTGATGGCAAACTTCCAAATCTTCAGTAAAGTCTCTTATGGAAATCTTGAAAGAAATATGTATTTCAGGAGCAATTTAGAAAAATAAAATTCATTGTACTCGTGAAAATTCCATTATAATGATGACATTTCTAAAGCTGTCATGATTTATTTTATGTGTTCTTATTCCTCTGTATTGTATTTACACAAGATGCACTTATTTTTCCTTCTCAGAATGAACTAAAAGTCTTGAAAATGCTGTTTGATCTTTGCAAAAGTGACTCAGATTTACAGTCTCCTGACATGAGTCAGATCAGCATAGAATCAACAGTACATCTCTTTCCTCACAAGCTCCCATCACCATGTGCTTACCATAAATACATTAATTTTGATTATTTTGTTTTACAGACAATGACATATTTTTAATATACAATGAGGATACTAAGCTCTGTTTAATTGCTCAGAGTTCTCATGCAGTCACAACAGTTGCTTGTAAGAAAAACACCGAGTTACAGAAATTCAGGTGGGTGTCTGATCACCAGGTGATGAGCGTGGCATTTGCTCAGTGTTTGGGAGTGCCCTACAAGCAAAACCAGGCTAAAATTTCTTTGTACCCCTGCAACAAGAAAAGTGAATTCCAGAAATGGGAGTGCAGAAATGCGACCTTGGCAATCCAAGGGGAAGATTTATTTCTCAGTGCTGGCAAAAAAAAAGAAGACAATATTGTGCTGAACACAGGATCAGTGACAATGAACAAATGGAAGATCTACGGAACCATGGATGATTTGTGTTCTCAAGGCCATAAAGGTAAAGTTTAAAGGTTAATCTTGATGGTGTATTGAACCCACTTGTTTGCCATCATGGATAAGGTCCTTTGATTTCTGCTCCCCTTAGTCTAACATCAGCTTTTCCCCCTGAGGCAATGGTGGACTGGAGGATGATTAGTTCAAATATTCAGGTCTGTATTCCTCCATCCTGGAGACACACAGCTGCTTAACTTCAGACAGAATACAGTATGTGCAAAAAATGTAGGGCTTTTTTCCTTTACTTTTAAAGCAAAGGTGGATCTAGGCTGTTTTTAATTGTTAGATTTAATCAAAGCACTTTATGTAACTGTATACTAGTACTGATGAAATTGTATTAGTATTGTTGGATGAAAGGCAAATTTTTTTAAGTTTAATATACCAATATTAAATGTAAAGAAATAATCCAATGCACACTACCATTCAGTTACTCTATGAGATTTCAGATGCCAAAAATATCACATCATTTAACAATTAAATCAATGATTTATATTTAATGAATCATGGGAAGTTAAGCTATGGGAATTGGGTCCCCCAGATTCCCATGCCTATATTATAATTTCTCTTTTTCCTTCTCAGATCTGTTTACTCTACTAGGAAATGCCAACGGAGCTCCGTGTGCCTTCCCCTTCCAGCTGAGCAGTAGATGGTACGGCGGGTGCACGGCTGCCGGCAGGTCAGACGGTCTGCTCTGGTGTGCAACAACTCACGACTTCGACGCAGACCATTTGTATGGGTTCTGTCCAACCAACAGTAAGTCTCAAATGCTGACATAGATGCTGTAACACAACACCGTTAGGTAAATGTATCAACGCTGAGACACTGTTAATAATATGGAAGGGAAAAAACTTGTAATGACTTCAATGTACCCAAAAATGTCTCTGTCGTGCCATAACATTCTTTACAGAAGAAACAAACATGTTTCCTATGAGTCTATAATCAGGCTGAAAGTTGTGTGGGTGTGTCCATCAGCAGTTAACACCCAGGAAAAGAACAGTATGCTTTAAATATGACTGAATTCAGCATATAATCATCCGAAAATTGAGACACATTTTGCAGCCTAATTCTCCATGCCTCATTACTATTTGTGGTAACAGCAATATAACCTTTTCTACTCATGTAAATCCCTGTTCTGTATAACAAGATTGGTCTACAGTCCACAGGAGGATGTAGTTTGTTTTCTGAAAGACATAAAACAAGAAGATTGGCTCAAAGGTCTTACTGAAATAGCAGCATTATCAGCTTTTCCCTTGTAATGTTTCAGATTACATTAGAATCATAGAATCATAGAATTATAGAATGGTTAGGGTTGGAAGGGACCTTAAAGATCATCTAGTTCCAACTCCCCTGCCATGGGCAGAGACATCCTCCAATACACCAGGTTGCCCAAAGCCTCATTCAACCTGGCCTTGAACACTTCCAGGGATGGGGCAGTCACAACTTCTCTGGTCAACCTGTTCCACTGCCTCACCACCCTCAGAGTGAAAAAATTTCTTCCTTGTATCTAATCTAAGTCTCCCATTTTTCAGTTTAAAGCCATTGCCCCTTTGTGTGTCCTATCACTACACGCCCTTGTAAAAAGTCCCTCTCCAGCTTTCCCATAGGCCCCCTTTAAGTACTGGAAAGCTGCTGTAAGATCACCCCGGAGCCTTCTCTTCTCCAGACTGAACAGCCCCAACTCTCTCAGCCTGTCTTCATAGGAGAGGTGCTCCAGCTCTTGGATCATTTTTGTGGCCCTCCTCTGGACTTGTTCCAGCAGCTCCATGTCCTTCTTGTGTTGGGGACTCCAGAGCTGAATGTAGTTAACATTATTCATAGAATCATAGAATCATAGAATGGTTAGGGCTGGAAGGGACCTTCAAAGGTCATCTAGTCCAACCCCCCTGCAAGGAACAGGGATATCTCCAACTAGATCAGGTTGCTCAGGGCCTCGATTATTACAAGATAATGCAGTAACATTATTACAAGATAATGTTACCTGAACAGATAAATGTATATGCAGGATGGGGGCAGGATGAAGGACATAAAAATACAGTCTTAATTATGATATTAAAAATGCTGCCTCAGACCTAATTTTTCAGTGCTATACCTCAGACTCACTATTTGTCATTTTGATAGGAGTATTGCACTGGGAAACCAGGTTCAGATCATTATCAACCGCCAACTTCCACCATAATTTTCACTGATATTACTGAAAATTATTTCCTGGTGCCATATTGCACACAGTAGTTTGAAAAAAACCAGAAAAACCTCACTACATAAACTGGCAAACATTAAGTATTTGGCGTTATAAAATTGTTGTGACACTATTGCTAACACTTGAGTCTACGATTAAAAAGAATGTTAAAAATCTGAAGTGAATGAGCAATAAAGAAACATAATAAAAAATAGAAAACATTTCTTGTAATGAATTGTTCAAGAAATTTAATATCTTTTCCTCAACAAAAGAGAAAGTTAGGGGAAGTTGTAATCACAGCTCATTAACGCTTGCCCAGGGATCAATTTTGCTAACAGTGAGCTCTCAGAAAGCAATTTATAAATTCTAATTACCTAAACATAGGCACACTAGAAATAAGGAATACATTTTAAAATATCATAGCATCATAGAATTATTTAGGTTGGAAAGGATGGTTGACATCATTGAGTCCAACAGTAAACCTAACACTGCCAAGTCCACCACTAAACAATGTCCCTAAGCGCCGCATCCACACATCTTTTAAATACCTCCAGGGATGGTGGCTTAATCACTTCCCTGGACAGTCTGTTCCAATGCTTCATAATCCTTCAGTGAAGAAATTCGTCTTAATATCCAACCTTAACTTCCCCTAGCACAACTTGAGGCCATTTCCTCTTGTGGGATCACTTGTTACCTGGAAAAGAAACTGACTCCCACCTCACTACAGCCTCCTTTCAGGTAGTTGTAGAGAATGGTAATGTCTCCCCTCAGCCTTCTTTTCTCCAGCCTAAACAACCAGTTCCCTCAGCCACTCCTTAGAAGACTTGTGCTATAGACCCTTCATCAGCTTTGTTGTCATTCTTTGGACATGGTCCAGCACCTCAATGTCCTTCTTGTCGTGAGGGGCCCAAAACTGAACACAGTATTTGAGGTGCAGCCTCATCAGTACAGGGGAATGATCATCTCCCTAGTCCTGCTGGTTACACTGTTTCTGATACAAACCAGGATGCTATTGGCCTTCTTGGCCACCTGAGCACACTGCTGGCTCATATTGAGCTGGCTGTCAACCAACACCCTCAGGTCCTTTTCTGCCAGGCAGCTTTCCAGCCACTCCTCCCCAAGCCTGCAGTGTTGCAAATGCAATTAATGATGATATAATTTGAAAAGCAGACTTTCTATCATTGGAAATGTTTGCATTTCAATTGTATTTAAGCCATGAATTAATTCGGGCATAGCCTATGAATTGCTGAACAGGTTTTCAGAGTAGATAATGACCAAGATGCAGTTTTGGTTTATAGATCTCTTTATACTATTTTTTTTTTCACCTGGAGTTTATCAGATTTGACAGAGGAAACTGAAAATAAAGGATGAAAGGCTCATATCTCCTAATGTCAATGGCAAGCCTTCTTTTACTTAAAAAAGAGCACGCTAACTAGATGATCTTGAAGGTCCCTTCCAACCCAAACCATTCTATGATTCTATGGTTCTAACAGAAGAGTATGGATTTTGGGGGATTGTGCTTTATTTGCTTCAGAATCTCATTTCACAAGTAAGCTTGCAGTTAAATTATCTCATATCATTCTGTGTAACGTGTATAACAATCTGCAATACTAAATCTCCTTTCTCTCACACAGACAATGACAGATTTTGGAGTACAGATCCTTTGACAGGAACCTACTACCAAATAAACTACCAGTCAGCTCTCACGTGGCATCAAGCAAGGAAGAGCTGCCAGCAGCAGAACGCCCAATTATTAAGTGTCACAGAGATACATGAACAAATGTATATAAGAGGTGAACTAATAAGAAAGACAGTAAAAAGAGTGTCAAAGTGTTTTTTGACTGATTACAAATATGTCAGTGCTTTAATCACATTACAGTCACCAGCTGATGTAAAAATGGTATATGTACTGCTAGAGAAATTGCACAATTACTGTAAATTAAGCTTTTTATAGGTGGAACCTTTTTAAGTTGTGGAATTGACATTTGAAATTATTTCTATTGTTAATATTTTTCAAAGAAAGTTAAGAATTTCCAGATAATTAAGCAAAAGTTGGCTCAATCTCAGAAAACATCAGAAAGGTCCCAGAAAGAGGTCTTATAAGAAGGAATGTCATTATAGGAGTCAGTCATTATATGACTTTTGTGCTAAGAAGTCAGTATTCTTCAAGTGCATTTAATGAAATATATTTTTGGAAATACCATACACAAGACACTATTAAAAATCTAAGGACTTTCCGGATTTACGCATAATCTCTGTGGAACAAAGGCCCTGTATCAATTGTATCACATTCAAGTGAATTTGTAAAATAAATATTAACAATAGCAATTCAGTGTTTCAGTTTTCAAAGCTAATTGCTTACATGTAACTGTAGAATAGCATTAAATTCAGATAAACTAATATGCAAAATAGTCTTTTGGCATTCTCTATCCTTTATCTACAGAATAAACTCTCTGAGTTTATTACCAGTAAACATTCTGTACTGAAATTAGAAATCACTATGCAGACACTTACTGTCTTCCTCCAAACCTTGAAAATGCAGAGCATTTGTTAGCATTTCCTAACAAATCTCATTAGAATTCAACTCTTTTGGTTACCTAGATTTGATTGACAGCAAGAGATCCCCTCTCTGGATTGGGCTTAACAGTCTGAATCTCAACAGCGGCTGGCAGTGGAGCAGTGGCAGTCCCTTCAGATACTTTAACTGGGTCCCAGGTAATAATCATTTTTTTAACATTTTTGGAATTAATATTTTTCATCAGTATGATGAAGATATATTAATTACAGTCCTGTAGTATTGTCCATGAACACGAGGAATTGGAGTTGAAAGGCTTATGAGACATCTGAGATTAAAAAACTGAGAACAATGCTTTTCTTCATGGAATATATCAGAAGGAGTTTCAAGCAGAAGAGCTAAATAAACTCCTCTCCTGTCAGAAGCAGATAAAGTGAAAAGCCCCAGTTGAACTGAAGCATAGTAGGAATGCCTTCAAGTTGGTTAAAACTTCTGTGTCTCTTCAACTCTCACAAGGCTCATCAGACTCCGCATCCTGCAAGGACTCAGTTGTCTTTGAGTCTTTCAAAGCCTTCCCCTTCACTTTTTATACCCTTCCTCTTTTCTTCTCTCCTCGTTAACATTCAAGAGAGACTGTAAATAGAGTTCACAGCATTGGTAGTTTATCCTCGACAGTCACTTAATGATTGCCATGGCAACAGCTGGTTGCAGCAAATGCCGAATGTTTGCTTGCTGAATAAATGCACATATATTCCGTCTTTTGGCCTTCCCCATGTCTCGAAGGTGCGACCTGTTTTTATCTGGCACAGAGGATGAGAGGAAAGCCCAGAGTTGCTGAGTCTGGCAGATGGTTTTCTACCTTCTGCTGAGCTGGTCAAGTTCCTTAAACCTTGCAGAGAACAAAAGCAGGTGGCTCAGTACAAGCTGCCCACACCATTGGAGTTCCTGTAGCCCCACATGATGGCTATTAAGATGAGTTGACCTACACATTTCCAGTTTATGGCAAAATTATTATAAACTGTCTCTTTTTTTTTTTTTTTTTTTTTAAGCGGTTGGGGTGAAATAAGTCATTGCATTGTGGACTTCGCTGTTAAGAGGAAAACACTGCCCATTCCCCAAGGATAGTCATTCTGGAGAACCTACTGGAAGGCTGGATGCAGGCAGGCAGGGAGAGACACACAGTGAGTGTGAGGGCATGTGAAGAGGCTCAGCTTGCAGCAAGGAGCAAATCTGCAGTCAAGCTGCGGAAGGCACATGCAGAAAAGACCTTTCCAAAGGGCCTGAGTGGAACGTTTTTGTTCCAGCACATCGGTGAAAGCTGCTGGACCAGAACCTGACATAGAAAGGAAAGACTGCTTTGCAAGTGCGTTGTGGAAACGAGGAGATTTGTTTTCACACGTGATTTGGTATGCCTCATCCAACAGATGTTCCTTATATTTTATTTTAGGAATTGCATATTATTTTCGTGCTCTACTAAATACCGTTCTATAAACTAGAAGCCCTTTAACATGCTCCCACAAAGAGGAAGCCTACCCTGTCAGGCTTTGTCCAATTGAGGTTCCCACCACTCCCTACTCAACTGTCAGACAACATGTCCCACAGATCGGTGGAATTTTGCTTGTATCTCATATTTTTAACAAATAATATTAATTCACTGAGCTTGATTTAGCTCTACAATGCAGAGCTAGAACTCTAATTTTTAGATTTTGAAATTTCTTTCAATTGTTAGCAGCTGATGGTTCTTACTCTGAAGAACGTTCTCTGCTCTTCACATCTGTAAAACTCCTTGTCTGAATATGACCTATGTTAAGATGCTGCCTTACTGTGTTCCTGCCCCAAAACACTAGCTCAAACTGTGTCCTCTGATTTCATGAATGTAGCTGAGTGGTTTGAGCTCATTACTTAGTCCTATTAGCATAATTGGGTTCTGACCACAAATCGTGTATAAAACTAGATGTTTCATGAGCTGTGAAACAATGAACTCCGATTTCCTATGGTCCGTGCACAGCATTGGAACTGTAGCAGCACCAGGTACCCCTTCAATGGCTGGACTCTTCAGTCCAGCATCTACTGACGGCGCAACAACATAATTTATTCTGCAACTGGTTGTGAGCTACGTATTCTTCAGCAGATATATGGCTGACCCTTATGTACAGGCTGATTAAACAAGCGAGGGGCAAGGAAAGGACTTGCTGCAGCCTTTCCATCAGTATGGACTCAACATTTAGTCTCTCTTCTGTGCAAACTGACAATTTTCACAAAACTTACAGGAATGCCTTATTTTTGAGACCACTATTCTGGAATCAAATATGTCAGAAAGTGTGAATTATGCAACAAGCATCTAAAGAAATGTTTTGATGAGTACTTGTAAATTACATTTCCTTACCATTTTCTTATCTCCATTATAAAAATAACTGTAGCAATGAAGTAATGAGATCATCATTGACACATTAAAAGGCCGGAAGTAAACTTTTCTTTCAGCTGCTGACATAAAATCTGTACAACATTAAAAGAATTTATTTTTTATCCTATGAAGGAAGCCCTGAGCCTGAGCCTGAGAAACTCTGTGCAGTACTAAATCCCAGAAGAGATGCTAAATGGGAAAACCAACCATGTGAGCTGAAAGTTGGCTATATCTGTAAAAAGGAAAACTCCACATTGGATCCTGTCATTATTCCATCAGGTATATCAAACAAATAATCTTTTGTTATAGACAGAATTTTTGTCATTAAAATGAAATTTCATGGCTAGTTAAAAATTTTAAAAAAGCATTGTCATTTGTTCTTCTGCTTTGATGAGTGGCACAGAACGAAGCACACTGTTATTTCTTTAGCCAAATATACTGAAATACCGGAAATCTTCCTGGAACCCAGTAACCACACAAGTAATTTTTATTTCATGCTATTATTCACAATTCCAGAGGCACTGATCTAAGGCACATACTGTCACAAAAGTATCATGGACTGCATGGACTGGACATGAAGATAAAGTTAGAGATGCCTCACTCTTCCTGCAGTGCATTCTAGTGAAACTGCTGATGTTTATCACTGAAGGCTTGGAATGATGGCACCAATAGGCTCAAACCACGCTCTCAGTGGGATAGTCTGTAATTTAGAAAGACGGCAAAATAGAGCAAGTTTCCTTCAGACCACTTTTGCACTATGCTTTTCTCTGATTTATTTAATGAGGCTTAGTATGGAAATCCATGTGCGCAGAGAATTACTTGTTCTTCAGTAATAATGCCTTTATGAAATATGCAAAACATAACTGGGTGGGGTATATTGCGTGAAAACACTATACATGGAATTTCAAAATATTCCCCTGTCCAAAAGTATTTCACACTAGTGAAGCCCAGTAACCACTGACTCCATTATTTTCCTTTTTTTTTTTTTTGCGTAAATGCAGTATGTTTTCTGTAAAAGTAGAGTGTGCAACAGCAGACAGACTAAAATGTTTCATATGTATGAGGAATGAATAGAAGTACTGGTTATTTATAATTGCTCTATTTTCACTCTAATTAATTAATTAACTGATTTCAAATGTAATTGCAGTTATTCTAGGCTTCAGTTTGCACTGTTTAAAAACTTGAAATGTCTATTGATTTTGAGGGGATGCAGAGCCTGTTAAATGCCCAGAAGGATGGTTGCCCTATGGAGATAACTGTTTTGTGGTTCATCGAGACCCCAAAGTATGGAGAGAAGCCCTAATTTCCTGCAATGAGAGCAATGGCAATCTGGCCAGTATCCACAACCCCGAGGAGCATGGCTTCATACTTTCTCAGCTTGGATACAGTGAGCATTTCTACAGGGCAGTGTTTGGTGCAAATGAAGAATTATATTATTAGAAATCTTACAAGATTTAAAAAGAACCTCTTGTTTATCTTATATTTATAGGAAAGCTCACAGATACATAGGTTAAAAAAAAAAACCACCACAAACAAACACCAAAAAAACACAAGAGAAATCATTAGTGCTCTCTTCATCTTCTTTTTCATTCTTTTCATTTTGATTTTCGTTTGTTTTCCACTGCATGAATGCATTTGAAGGAAGTAACAGCTCTAGTTACCGCAATATTTGAGCTGATTATCTGCCTCAGACACCTTGTCGCTGCAGATAGAGTAATGGACTTTTGCTGATAAAGCTGAGGAATCTCATTTCCTGCTGGCATCTTTTTTTTAACTTCTTGAAAGAAGAATGTGAATTAGATCTTAAAATAAACTCCACTGTCATTTAATTTAGATGAATTTGAATAGTAACACGGCAACTTCATCTCATCTCCATAAAATCTTGCTCCTATGGACTGTTTTAACTTGGGTACTGACTCCGATGAATTTCTGTTCTTAGAACCCATGGATGAGCTGTGGATTGGTTTGAATGACCTCAACACTCAAATGTACTTTGAGTGGAGTGATGGGACTCTTGTGACATATACCAAATGGTTGCCTGGAGAACCAACCCATGCAATTAATGGGCAAGAAGATTGCATCATTATGGCAGGAGAGGTAGAATAATTCCACTTTTTGTAGTATTATACTATTTGATTTTTTTTCATTTATTTCCATTTTTTTTGTAAATGCAACTTACAAACAAACCATGGAATGGTGTCTTTATTCACTCAGAAAGATGGTTGTTCTAAATAATATTTAAAATTAAATTAGAGATAACTAGACAAATGTTCATATCTGATTGTAAGTGTACATAATATGCCAAGCAAATCTTAACAGTCTGCCCGTGACACTTTACTGGTTTAACATAATCTCACAATTAAGCACAAATACTTGGAATTCATTGAAAAGTACGGATATTCATTCTCCCATTTAATTTTTTTTTTTTTTTAAAGATAATGTTTCTAAAGGAAAAGGGTTCTGCCTTACTATTTTTCACCTCTTTCCAAACCTCATCTAGGATGGATACTGGGCAGACAGCGCCTGTGATAGAAAATTAGGTTACATCTGCAGAAGAGACCCACTACAAGGAGTTTCTGGGACAGTAAGGACTGATCCTACATGCCTGAAGGTAAGAAGAAAGAATAATAAAGAATCTGGTTAGTAAATATCTATTGTTTTCACAAGCTCCACTTGACATTGAAACTATCTTTTTTTTTTTCCCTAACAAGTGTGATTGTATACCAAATCCAGGGTGATAATTTTCACTACATTCCCTTATTTAAAATAAGGTAATTTTGAAATTTTTTTAGTCAATATGAGTCAGGCCCATTGTGTCTCATAACTGCCTGTGAAAGAGGCTAAAGCCATTACTTCAGTTTTCTGCATATTTATTATATTGTTCTATAATCATCTGTGGTTATCTAAGATGTAGTAGAGACTGGGAACCATTTCTGGACTATGTGACATGATGCAAGATGATGACAAACCTCACAATTGAAGCCAAATCAAAACAATCAAATTGCTTTTATGAGTTAATGTGTTTTGAATAAGTTATTGTATCCTACTGCTTTTTTTTTTCCTTCTCTTTTCCCCCTCTTTTTACTTTCCTATTTACTACTTTTCTATATTTAGTAACATTTCCCACAACTCCATATGGGCAACAGAGCTGAGACTCATTGTGTTAGACAGAACTAGGCAGCAGCCAAATACTGTACACAGATTTTATTTACCTTTCTCAGATGGAGCAAGCAAATGAGCTGGTATAGGAGGGAAAAGAAAAAGTGACTTGGAATTCTGATGTAATTTTGAGGATTTTGCTTTTCAATCGTTTTTATGCTACTTCTTCAATCAGACTTTTTAGGTGAGCTGATGAGTAAAATCAGTTTATTAGTTCAATTACTATTCTTTTAGCCTAGAAACATCAGGAAACTTGAGTCAGTATCTTACTATAACACAGACTACTCCAGTTCTGAGCAAGGAAGTATTTTATTCCTCTGCTTCTGAATGCCCTCTCCATTCTGTGTGTCTCTGACTTTTTTATCAGTCAAAACTTATCAGTTACTAATTGTCAAAAAAGGGTGACTCATAAGAATTAAATCTCTTCTTTCTGTTTGTTTACTAAGTTTAACCTCCATTAGTCCACTAGAATTCAAACGAATACTTTATCACATTAAGATACATTAAAAATATGTTTGAGTATACACTGAAGTTCAAGCACTATAACATATGTTCTATTTACTGCAAGTATACTTCACATGTTCTTGACAGGGCTGGGAAAGACATGGTTTTTACTGCTACCTGGTTGGACATACCTCTGTAACGTTTTCAGAAGCAAAGAAAACCTGTGAAAGGAGCAGTGGTTATCTAACAAGTATAGGAGACAGGTATGAAAAGAGTTTAAAAACTGTGTATCTGATGCAATAATATTGGAATTTTATAAAATAGTTGAGAAATTTTTGGAAAAACATGTGAAACCAGAAAAATAGAACATCCTTTTTCTGAAGAAAAAAAAACAAAAACAAACAATAAATACAGTTTATACAGTATGACTTTTCTAATTAAATATATTTTACATATTCATGTTTTCCAGTACTTTACTCTGAAAGAACAGACCACAATTGCTTCTGTTCTGTAAGGAGTAGTTTTTCAGTATAGCACAGCTTCACCTGCTATTGAAGCTAGTCCATCAGGTACTCAGCTGAGCAACATATTTCCATGTAAAATGAAAGCTAATGGAGACTCTATTCATTCTAGTCTTGAATAGTTTAGGATGCTGAGAAATGGTAGACTAAGGGAAAGCTAGGCTGAATCTCCATCTGACTCCTGTCGTTTCAGATATGAGCAAGCCTACCTGACCAGCCTCATTGGTCTGAGATCTGAGAAGTATTTTTGGATTGGTCTCTCAGACATGGAAGAGCAAGGGATGTTCAAGTGGGTGACTGGTGAAGGTGTTCTGTACACAAACTGGAACACAGCAATGCCTGGTATTCTGCCATTGGAGTAAATTTATGCTACTAAGGAACCTTCTCTGTCGTAATTCTAAACTTTCTCAACTTTGCTAAAACACATCCATGATGACACATACGAACATTCTGCCTTTGAAATAGGAGTGTCTTTGATACATATACTCAGCACTGGTGAGGTTGCATCTTGAATACTGTGTTCAATTTGGGGCCTCTCACTACAAGAAAGACATTGAGGTGCTGGAGCATGTCCAGAGAATGACAACAAAGATGGTGAAGGGTCTGGAGCACAAGTCTTATGAGGAGCAGCTGAGGGAACTGGGGTTGTTTAGTCTGGAGAAAAGGAGGCTGAGGGGAGACCTTATTGCTCTCTACAACTACCTGAAAGGAGGTTGTAGCAAGGTGGGTGTGGGTCTCTTTTCCCAGGAAACAAGTGGTACAACAAGAGGAAATGGCCTCAAGTTGCGCCAGGGGAGGTTTAGATGGGATATTAGGAAAAATTTCTTCACTGAAGGGTTGTCAAGCATTGGAACAAGCTGTCCAGGGAAGTGGTCGAGTCACCATCCCTGGAGGTATTTAAAAGACATGTAGATGTGGCACTTAGTGACATGGTTTAGTGGTGGATCTGGCAGTGTTAGGTTTACAGTTGGACTCGATGATCTTAAAGGTCGTTTCCAACCTAAATAATTCTACGATTTTATGATTTTCTATGATGCCATGAAAATATTTCTTTTCTGGCTCCTCATTGCTTACAAGAGTAAGATCAAACTGAGCAGAAAGGGTGAAATCTCTGTCAGCCTGGGCAACAGACTGCCAAATCCTTGCAGTGAGTGGCATAGGAAAGAGGTAGGCAAGGGATTGCTCATGCACTCATAAAGCTTTTCGAAAGGGAGGGAAGATGATGAAGGACTCTACTTGCTGCTTTCCTCTTTTTAAAAAGCTCCTCCTTTGAGCAGACACTACACTTAATATTTCAAACAGTCTTTTGTCAATTAATCAAGAGCTGTAAAAATGTCAGGGGAACACATTTCAATTTTCTTTTGTATCCCATAAAGGGAATGAAGCTGGTTGTGTTGCCCTGAGGACTGGAAACGCAGCTGGACTATGGGATGTTCAGAACTGTGAAGTAAAGGCAAAATTTCTCTGCAAAAAACTAGCTGAAAAAATCACTCTTCCTCTTGCTCCTGAAACCATGTCTGATTCCAAATGTCCCTTGGGTTGGGGTACAAGCAATAGTACTAATTCATGCTTCAGAGTAAGTATAACTTTTTTTTCTAATAATTCTGCTCATAAGACAGAAGCGCATCAAATAGATAGGGTGTCTAAACTTCAGAGAATGGCACGTTATTGCACAAATGTAGTAAGTTTTTACACAACTGTTCAAGGAAATTACTGCAGTTATCACTTTATCAGTGATATGTAAGATTATCCAACTAGCTTATTCTTTAATCTATATCGCATATGATAATTGTAATGGAGTGTTTTCCTATTTTGCTTATACAAGGTAGTCAGCAGATTTATTTTTAAGATACTGTAAACATAGTGTTCTACCTGTGTCTGTAGGTCTTTGTGAGAGAAGAAAACCAAAAGAAAACATGGTTTGAAGCCCGAGATTTCTGCAGAGAAATAGGAGGAGATCTGGCTGCCATTAGAAGTGAAGAAGAGCAAACAAAGATAGAAAATTTAATAATGTAAGTAAACAAAATGTCTAATAATAGACTTTGGTATAAAAATACATTATATAGAAATAAATTATAATATTATTGAGTTACTCCTGAGATAATTAGTTGAAAATCTGTATGTCTATCATCATAGTCATAAGAAAAAGAACTGAGAAAATGTTTCATACGGGTACCATTTTCAAAGACATTTTTGCAGTTCCTAAAATTTGTCAAAATCTGCAAATCTTTTAAATTAAAACAAACAAACAACCCAACTACCAAATTGGTTGAATGCTTCTCCTTTAGGCCCATTTCTAAGTTTTTTTCATGGAACTATTTTTAAACTAAATTGTGACTTACAGCAAAACCGAACATTTTATTTCTCAAAGAACACTATAGTGACAACATCAATGAAGAAAAAATTGTGCTATATTTTCAACACAGTCATTGGCAAAGTAAAAAATTTTAAAGCATGAACTTCACTTACTTGCTAATGAGACTTTGCTGACCAACAGCATTTTGTTATTTTTAAAATTTCTACTCTATTTGAACTCTTCAATAAGTGTGATAGTTATTGTCCCACGAAACTTGCACAATTTAGCATAGCTAACCACATACATCCTCTTCTTCCATGATATATTTTTTCACACTCTAGAAAAAAATCCACATCACCTCAAACTTTCTGGATAGGTTTTCAGTGTTTGGATCCTGATGGTGGGCTTTCCTGGAGTGATGGATCGCCGGTGAGTGTTTGACCTTGTCAGTTTCTTTCTGTTCTGACTTTTTCACCGTTGGAGCTGTTTCTGTGACTGATGTGGATGAGTGTCATATGAGAGTTTCTAAAAATGTCTACCTTGCCACTGGGTAACTCTACATCATTATTCTGCATACTGGTTTGGAAAAGAAAAAAGCTAATAAACCCTGAGGTTATACCATCACAACAGTGCTACTGTGGAGTACTAGTTAGAGCTACAGAGACGATTATCTAAGTGACAAACATAGCAGAAAGGTCTCTCCTGATTTTTATTAGTCTCTGGTGATATATCGTCATGCTCCATTCCCCTGCTATTGATTCATAACCTTATTTGATTCGTTGTTAGTCTCTGGTGATATATTGTCATGCTCCATTCCCCTTGCTATTGATTCATAACCTTATTTGATTCGTTTTCACAGGACTGCTAGAGTCTGTTAAATTCTGCATAAACCCAAAGTGTCTCTTTTTACTTGTGGAGTGACTGTATTGCTTTAATGGCCCACACAGGCTGCACAGCCATGGGAGGAAAGCAAGGACTGGTTTGAAACTTTGGTGCTACTTCTCTTTCCTTCCAGAGTACAAACTTTTTCCCCTGTATGATAAGAATAAAAAACAAAGCTGTGTTTCTTCTGTAGGTGAATTATAAGAAAAATCTTTATTTTTACAATGCTGCATTTGAATATTGTGGAGCAATCGATGAAGAGCCTTCCATGTCATGGGTTATGGAGCACTGTGAATACAGTCACAACTGGATTTGTGAAATAAAGAAAGGTAAGTTACTTTTTACTCTAAACTCACATTCGGAAGAAATTTAAGCTGAATCCTATTCTATCAAAAGAGGAAGTTCCGCAGGTTACATGCTGGTAGAAAATTTGGTTGATTTCACAGCAATTTTGCATAAGGAAAAATAGGTCAAGACATATAAATACTTTCACAATACAGCATTTCAAGTGTTAATGATAATTTTTTTGTTTTATTTTTAAAAATGTATGATAAACTTTACTGAAAATATACTTGTTTATGTAATTATAAAGTCACAGAAAATAAAGCAAAAGCAACCTCAAGGGCTTATCTGGTAAAATCCACCGCTCTGCACAGAAGTAGTTTTTTGTCAAAACAGTTCTTGTCTTTGCATATTGGAAGAAACATTGCTCCAATATCCTACTCTGTGGGTTGTAGAAATTTTTCATTTAAATTATTTCTCAAAAGCTTGTGGATTTTCAGTCAAACGTGATTCTTCACAATGTAGTTTCACAGAAAAAAAAAATCACAAATGAATACTAATAAAATTTAAAATACTTTGAACCAAAAATTTTAGTTGTTCAGATACAATACAATGTCCATAAAGAATCTCTTATTATTGTGCAAAATATGACAACATTGAAGTATTTTCATTCTTTAGTTTTCTTTCACAAACAAGTACTCATTCAGACTAATTTCAGTCATCTAATTTAGGCAACATTCAGGATGTACAAGATGCACTTACCAAAACTCTATCAAGATAGAGATGTAGGTCTGTAATGTATCTGTTATTCCCTGAATATCAATTTTTCTCTACACCAAAGATACTATATGTTCTGGACCGAATATGTAAAATATGAAAAATTGATAGACATTAAGATAATTTCCTCTAATTGAACATTTATACCAGCTAAACATTTTGGAAACATTTTACATCTTCATTTTTTTTCACATTTCATTACAGGGACACCCTTGAAACCAGAACCACTTGGCCCTTCCACTGGTAAGCTTCTGCTTCTTTTATCTAAAGGGTGGAATCATGTAACACCACCAGCATTGTGTAAGAACTCTGAAGAATATAGAGATTCCTCTTCTGTGTTGCAGCATATGAAGTCACAGAAGATGGATGGATTATAAAAGGAGACAAACATTATTTTTTCAGCACAGAACAGACCTCTATGGAGAAAGCCAGAACATTCTGCCAAAACAATCATGGAGATCTTGCTACTGTTGAAAATAGTAGTGAAAGAAAATTTTTGTGGAAATGTGTAAGAGGAAAATGGCTATGTTATACAATACATGGCCTATACACCCTGCTGCCTGTGCTTGCAAAGTACAGGAGAATGTGTTTGTTGCATAGTATTGCTACATCTTACTAGCAGTAGATTAAAATGTTCAATGGAAAAATATTTATTCTACAGAATAGAGCTTCTCTTCAGGAAAATAAATACAAACGAATTTACCATTTACTAGGGTGGGTATATTCTTGACTATTCTAATTTAAAGAGTTCTGCCCATGATCAAATATGTATATATAAGGAGTAAAGAACAGGCAGATTAGGCGTATACTGAGAAAACTGTCCTTTTTATTGGGCAGTCACGTCTCATCTGAATATCATATTCTAGAATACAGTGTTATGTGTAGATGTAAGGCTACAGCCAGTGTAGCTCTGATATCACATCATGTTGCTCAAAAACCAACTTTTCAAAGAAAGGTTTACCCTTGTCCAGGTCAGGGACTGATGAAGTAGGACCTTCATGAATTAGTTTTCCTGCAACATATATCAAAACTGTTCATGTATTTCAAGGGCAATGTCTACACATCACCCGAGGCGGTACTGAGGGGCACATGCCAAAGCTGTGGCAAGGGCATAATAACAATTTAATAGCATGGATGTTGCCTCAATCCTCTGACATAATCTTATCAGGTTTACTAATACCAAAGTAGCCACACAACCTCCTTTCTGCCTCACACTGTTAGATACTTCCTTTTATTATGTGGGAAAGGACATGAAAGGTGGAGAGGACAGACAGCTTGAGACACAGGAATTACATGGCTGCTTAAGAACAGGAAAGTACCAAAAAATTTTATATTGAATTTTTTCTCAAATCTTCCTTATTTCTTCTTAATTGAAAACACAACTTTGAAAGCTTTGATCATATCAGTAATATAGTCAAAACTGTGAAAGCAGCAATAAAGACAATAAAGCAAAAATATATATTGTATAGTATTTACTTCAACAGGGGACCTCTCTGGTGACTACACATAATCATTTATACAGCATGTATTCATTTGCTTCCATAGTGCAAAACACTTTATCATGTTAGATAACTACTAAATATTAGAAAGCACTAACTAAAAGTACATTTTTGTGTTTAGATCCTAAAAAATGGCAAATTGGAGTCATACCTCATAGGATTAATTCAGAATGCTGATCGACAGTTTAGGTAGGTAAACAAGCTACATCAAGATTCATAAAAAGTGGTGTAGAAGTTTTGTAATGCCAGTGTTCTTTCTGCGGGGACCATTGCAAGGGAGTTAAACACAGATTCAGAGTGCTATATTGCATGTTGAAATGTGTGCTCTCCCTTGGTTTAACTACATTGTAAAAACAATGTTTCAAATGGCATTTTTATAGGGAATATACATACTATGAATACACAGAGAATGCATGTTAAAAATAAAGGTGTTTTTGGTTTTTTACTTGACATGCAGAGATTTCATTATGTAGGTCTTCTAATCCTAATGGAAACTTGACTTACAGATAGACTCAGCTGTAATTTTTAAAAAAATACTTTTAGCATTTTAAGGTAGATTTTTCTGAACTCTTCCATGAACATTGTCTCAGCAACCACCACTGTTTTGTTGTCTTTTTTTTTCAGTTGGATGGATGGAAGCCCAGTGCACTATGCAGCCTGGGCACAGGGTGAGCCCAGCTTTGCAGATGCTCAAGAAAATTGTGTGGTCTTAAATAAAAAGGATGGTGAGTTACATAACTTTTTAAAAATAGTATTTATATGGGTACTGCTCTTCCCCTGTTTGTTAAAAATATGTTGCCAACTTTAATCCATTCTTTCCCAGCAGTTTGGGAAAATACGCATAATAAAGTATAGTCACAATATTTGAGGTTTCTTCAGGGGCAATATTAGCCATAAAAGTGCAACATCAGAAATTTATTTTAATGGGGAATGCAGGGACAACTTGATCACCGATTTTTCAGCACAAACAATACATTCTGTTCAAATCAACAGCAAATTGGTTTTTCAGAAAATAATCTGAGAATAGTTAGCAAAGGAATAGAACATGTATGAAGTTTCACATTTTATAGTGTTTTCACTGATAGCGTTAATTTACATTTGCATGTTTCAGTGCACCAAAGCCGTTCAGGTGGGTTCTACTCAGAGGTCACGGAGTTGCCATATCAGCCATCTCATATGGGCACTACTCCCACAGTCACAGCAGGACCAAAGTCCTCCTGTAAGTGATGAAGGCAGGTAGAGTTGAGCTGAAGCACGTTATCTCACATTCCCAGGCAGGATGCTTTCAAACCTACAAGCATGGAAGCCAGCTCACTTTCCCACACATTTCAATCTTACTCATTGTCTTAGTATCTATATTTAAATTGATTTCAGGCTTGTGGAATGATGTCAGCTGTGGATTTTCAAATGGCTATATCTGTCAGAGGCACAGAAGTTTCATAAATGCAACACTTCCTTCAGCAGTACCTTCACCTCCTGGAGGATGTCCCAAAGGTTGGCTTTTATTTAAAAATCAGGTATGATAACATCCATCTAAGCACAATTATATTAGTCCTTGGAAAGGTACTTCAACATATACAAGAGGCTTTTTGTTTCTCAGATATCTTTTGATAGTGATTATCCAAAGTTGCATTAAAAATTGAACCAGTTGCCTAATTCTCACAAAATGGTGATTTTACAGACTTTTAATTGTTTTCCTGCGAAGTGGTCATCTGAGATACATTATAAAAACTGCTACATTGTAAATATACTTTCAAAAAAAGTTGAACTGAGTTCAACTGAAAGCACCAACCATAGCATAAAATCAGTCATTTGAGCTGGAATGAATCAGAAACAAGGCCAAATTTTTCCAAACAGGCTTCAATGTAATGCTTACCTCTTCCCAAAAGGAACAAACTTAATGCGCTTATTAAGTGAGGGTTCTATTTTCTAACATACACTATATTGTCAGGAAAGCACCCATGGATACTCACACCAGTGGAGTTTATGCCAGTACACTCTTTTTGCATTTTTGTTACAGTCATCAAGAGTAGTTATTTTCCACAAACTATGCAAGATAATTCTCTCACAGTGCTACTGGCGTGCCACAGAACAGAGGGTGAGCTGTAAACATGGAGAGGGCACACTAGGCACATTCATAATCACCAAAAACATTTCAGGGTGAATGTGTATTGGTAATGTGATGACCATGCACTTTTTAAGAAATTATGAGTCACGTATTTCCATTAATAAAAGAGCTGTAAAATGAAAAAGGCTGAATACACATGAGAGCACATTGACCATAAGTTTCAGGTCAAAAGCATTTTTCAGACAGTTTAGATGATTCTTCAGGACGGATAGGAGCGGTACGAGAGGTGGCGGGGTTGCCCTTTATCTAAGGGAAGGTCTAGAATGCTTAGAGTTTAATGTTGGGGATGACTTGGTGGAGTGTCTGTGGGTAAAAATCAAAGGGGAGCCTATGAAGGCGGATATTGTAGTGGAAATCTGCTACAGGCCACCCTATCAGGAGGGTGAGGCTGACGAACTATTTTTTAAACAACTGGAGGAAGTCTTGCGCTCACTAGCCCTTGTCCTTGTGAGTGACTTAAACCTACCAGATGTCTGCTGGAAGTATAACACGGCAGTCAGGAAACAGTCTAGGCTATTCCTGCAGTGTGTGGAGGACAACTTCCTATCGCAACTGGTCAGTGAACCGAACAGAGAAGGTGCTCCCCTAGACCTGCTGTTTGTGAACAGAGAAGGTCTCGTGGGAGATGTGACGGTTGGAGGATGCCTGGGGCATAGTGACCATGAGATAATAGAATTCTCAATTCTA